TTTATGAAAATTGTAATTTCTTGGAATATTTCTATTTATTACAAGGATTAAAGGGAATTTTTCAAAATTGTAGTATTGTTAGCTTCAACTAGATACTTTTTTTATCTTTTGAGAAAAATCCGTCCATTAGAAGCAGAGTAATGTAACACAAAAAATAAAAGTAAGTCATAGTAAAACAAATAGCTTCTCTATTACGCATCGTAACTAAAAAATAAGTAAAATCATCAAAATATATTAATATATTAAAAAAGAAATATTTTTTTCTATTATCATAGTAATTAATCATAGATATTTTTTCTTCTGATGAGCTACATAAAAGCTGTAAAAATATGTATAAATTTAAAATTCTGGTCTATAGTTAATAATATCATATATTAACACTATTTAGTTTATCATAATTTGTAAATAAAAAAAAGTGTCACTAACAAAATTAATTTTATTAAATGTTCTTTTATGCTGTCAAATATAAAATATATCATATAAAATCTACATTAAATTAGTGACGTGTAATTCCTATTAACTTAAAATAATATTTAGAATTTCAAGTTCAATTTAAAAAATTCGTCAGATTTATAATCATAAATTTGATAAAGTTTGTTGGTATGAAAACAAATATTAATAATGACGAGTATTTCACAGAATTAAAGTGTGTTATTTAAGAATATTCCATCTAATTCCATAAGTTTATATGACATTTCTTGTCAGAAGTCCAAACTAATATTCAAATATTTGAATACATCCATAATTTTTTAACGGTCTGGAGGTGACTATCATTTAATAGAATTTATATACATATAATACTTTTTTAAAGCACAACTTAATCTAAACTAAGGTATGTCAAATTACCCCGCCCTTGGGTCAATGGGTCTAAATATATCAAGTAGTATTTCTACCAAATTTTAGGTTTTCAAAATGAATACTTTCTTTAAGAGTTTCAATTAAAGCTTAAGGTATCAACTTATCACCTACTCTAAATTGTTTTTTAATGGAAAACTTAAAATTACGTAGTCGTTCTCTCTCTATCATACATGATAATTATTTGGTAAAAGTTTTATTTGAAATTTTCGCAAGATTTTTATTTTTAGTGCAATTTCTGCTTTGAAATTTTATAACCCAACACAAACTAATAAGGGAGATAATTTTACATAATATTTTTTATTTAAATAGTGTAATAATTAAAAATAAAGTTGATGGAGATGGTATTAATAAAGAAGAATGATAGTGGCTTCATCAGTAAAGACATAATAGATATAAGTACTTTGTTTCTAGTTATTACTTTATTAGTGTAGTTAGTGTATTAAAACTATTCTTACCTGATATTCACTGATGGTGATGGAATTTTGATTGTTGACTTATGGTTGTTAAGAATGCATTTGAAATTGTAGTGGGTATGTTAATAAATGAGAATCGTATATGGCTGATAAAAGCGTATTTATTACTATTGATAATGTTAATTATTTTAACAAATGTGTAATTTAAATTTAATGAAGAAAGTTAGTATTATAGACTCACAGTATAAATAATATGCTAAAACACGTAGGAAATAATCTTAAAGATTTAACTTGATAAAAGTAATTATTAAGTGAGAAAAATGAGCGATTGACTGACTGGAAAAACAGTGTCCTCGGTCTTTATATAATGTACCACAAAAGTCATAAATGGGGATTGGGCGTCTTGAATGTGTCATACTTTTTATAGGCGCATTCAATCATCATTCCATATTTCAATAAACGCAAAAGAATTATTATATTTTAATTTCCTTTTTTAGTACTTTAGTGGTGCCTGGAAGACGGCATGAAAGACAATGATTCACGTCTATTTTATAGTTGCCCAAAAGTTAATACCGTATGTATAATCGTGTTAGCATATTCTTTTCTGTGGTATTAGAAATACAAGATGTATTGATTTTATTAATATTCCAAAGGAGAATATTACAATAGAAACCTAGTAGCCTGTCATCGTCACCTAATGTTACAACAACCCGATGCCATCGTGGTACGTAGATATTATCTTGAACGTTAGTTTTGAAAAAATTTGTATTAAATTGTTTGTATCTCGTTAATGAATGGTCCTAGAAGTCTGGATACTTTTCTCAACCAAATCGCATAGTATTCCCTATATATCCTCGTCATGGTTTTTAAATATGAGACCAATTTTATCGGTTCCCTACAATTATTACTATTCACTCTCCTTTGTTTAAATAATGTATAATTATTATATATTTTGTATGATTATCTTTTTTTTTATTTCTTTTATATGATTTTGTTCATGTTAAATTAATTTTATGACAAATAAAAAACTAATAAGTCTGAGTGATGAGTTGCCAACTAAACTAAAAAAGTATTTAACATAATAAATATTATTATTTAAAACATATGTAAATCAGACATTTGCTTCGGGAACAGAAGACGCGTCCCTTAAAATACGTTTTAAAGGCTAGCGTGAAAGCTATATCGAATAAAAGTAATTTTGAAATTATCCTCCCCCCTTAATCACAAGGACAAGTAGGAAAAATTGCGTTACTCTAATATTTCAACATACTTAAATATAATCTTACGTTCTTAAATTTGCTTAAAACTACTTACATTAAAAAAATACAATAAAATTAAGTCAGTTTTTTGACGGAAGTGTCATTTTAATCAATAATTCTATTCTTTGGCATCATAGGACCTCTTAATTTTGAATTAAGGGCTATGTTTCGATCCTTCTCCATGCTTAATATAATGTTATAAATACTGCTAATGAAAATATACATACTCGTGTATATATTTTTAAAATCAGGTCAAATATTAATCTCTCAAGTGTATACGCTGCATTCACCAGTCGTTGCCACCGACATCACCATTACAAACCGCAGGCTAATGCTACATGCGAAAATAAAATCAAAATTTCACGAATCTTGTGTTTCTGTGTTTTTTACGTCCTTTGTTGACGACCATTGGGTGTATCTTTTAGCTTCGATGCAAAGCTGAGAAGGTATTAATTTTACTATGATGTGTTTTTTTTTTATGTGTCTGTTACCCCTTTTTCTCAGCACTCACCGAACAGATTTCTTTCAACGATACGTCAAAAGATCACAAATTGTATCTAGTCGAAGACATTACCCTCAAAAATTGAAAAAATTTCCCTCGTTCCCCGTAAATGGGGGAAATCTCCAAAAAAATTACAAATAAAATTGCTAATTTTTTCAATTTTTTTTACTTAAAAATTATAACTTTTTCAAAATTGAACAAATCAATATAATTTTTTTTTAATAGTTGCATAATGTCCTTCATTTAATATATTTTTTTTATAATTTTGACCCTTTACCTGGCCACAGAAGGGGATTCAAAATGACAACTTTCTCGCAAAAAAATACGATTTTTGTAAAAAAAATTATTTTTTATATTCTTAACTTTATATTGCTATAACTTTTTGAAAAATGTATGGATCATTATATTTTTTTTGAGATAAGTATTATTTATATATATATATATATATATATATAAATAATACTTATCTCAAAAAAAATATAATGATCCATACATTTTTCAANTATATATATATATATATATATATATATATATAATGTATTTCTTTTATTATAAATTACTGCGCACTGAATTTTAGATTAAGATTCAAAATAGCCAATTTTTTACAAAACTCAACATTTTCAACTCTTCCGAGCTTCTAATATATATTAAAATAAAGATTATGTTATGTACTAGAAGTTCAAAAAGATATAATTTTTTCAATGTTCATATGGTTACGGTAGTTAAAAAACATGCAATTTTTGTGTTAATATTTTCGATTTCATATTAAATTTTTTCAACTTTAAATTGCTATTAATTATTATTTTAAGATAAGATGCATAGTATGTAATTATCAATTTAGTATGTAAATACAAATAGAGTAAATAGTGTACAACAATGTATATGTTATGATGGATAAATAAATTATTTGTTTGTATATAAGTAATATAAAATACAAACTACAAATTTTTCATTGATAACGTAAGTGCGTAATGCATAGCATTAGGCATATTACGACAATACAGTGTCACGACCCCACTGGGCTATCGTTTTTTGCATGATAATGTAATAGACCCTCGACCATAAAACTCAACCATAAAATATACGGTCAAATTTGACCGACTTAGCACGGTAATTGTACTGCATAAGCATGATAAATGAATTCTATTTTTGATTTACTTAGCATGTTAAGACGATGCAGATATGATCCTAGATCCCTCCATATGACGGTGCAACCCATGTAAAAAATCTTTATTCAAAATTTAAAAAAGGGTTAAACCATTGATTTATTCACAACATATACAGTTTCACTCAATATGGATTTATATAAGCAGTAGTTGAGATACAAGTACTATAGAAATTTCTATTGAACAATGTAAATTGAGGGGTCGAAAAATGTTTGAATACTTTGAGTGACGACTTTTTTTATTTCCTATGTTTCATTATAAATCATGTCACTAATAATACAGCAGAGAGTTAAATAAGTTAACATGATCAATAAAATAAATTATTTGTTTCTTTATTTTTAGTTAAATAGTTATAGTTTTAGTTTCATACATAGGTAACAACAAGAAATAATGTTTTTCAATTTTTTTCATTTTTATAAAAAAATTATTATTAACTATTCATTAACCAATTTAGTATCTATTTAAAAAAAGCCATCTGTAAAACGTCAAGACTTATTAATTTATAGACTTATATTTCATTATTCAATGTTGACTGAAACAAAAGAAAACAAGTTTTTACTAGTATTTATGGTACAATAATGGGAATCAATAAATAAAATGTTTACTTAGTTTTAAATAAGTATTATTAAATATTAAATTAAATTTAGTAAATTTTTTTTATTGCAATTTTAAAAATACTTAAAAAGATCTTTTTATTATTATAAAAACATAGCAGTGATATTAGATAAATAGAATTTCATTTAATCTATCATTTCAACAGTTTTAATTATCAGTTTTATTCGAATACACCGATTGTCAATTCAAAAATGTGTTTCTACATTTTCATTGTTATGTATCTAACCAGCAGTTTTACTAATGGACTACTTTACTCTTCTTATCCTTTCAATGAGGTAAATAGATATCATTTAATTTTTAATAAAAGTTAATTGTTAAATGTTTTCTAATTTGATAATAAATTTTTGGGGATATCTATATGTTTATTTAGATATAGATTATTTTTTATTCTTACTTATCTTACCATCTATCTTACTTAGATATATTAGATTTCCCGAAAAAAAAATTTTTAGCATTAAAATCTTTTAGCTACACCACGTTTTAAATTTCCTTTTTGTATAAAAAAATTTGCTATTAAAATTTTATTCGAGAAGCAAAATTTCATGAAAATAGTTAATAGTTGTATAAATTCAGTAATTTATTAAGTTACAAGACCAATTATTTTATTATAATAAAAATTTCTAACAAATATCTATGTCTCATTTAAATTTAAAAAATATAATTTTTTTTAGACTAATTTGTTGTTTTTATAATTATATATACAAATTTTAATTCCAATTATTTTTTAAAGTTTATTTTAGAACAGAATATTAAATAATTTAAGAGTGTGCATAATTTTTGATTAATAATAATAGAAATAAAGTTAAATTTTTTAGCTTTAGCGCGAAGCTGACAAAGTATATCTATTTTAATATGTGTTTTTTTATTTATATTTTATTATTATTTTTTTGTGTTGGTTACCAATTTTTATCAGCTTTCACTGGACTGTTATTACCCAACTACATTTTCAAATATACTAATAACAACATTATACTAATATAACATATAAAAAAATATACTAATTATCACATAATTTTTTATTTAATAAATTAGTTAATTATTTATGTAGCGATTTAAGAAAATAAAGTTAACGCCGTTATAAGGTACAAGGGATAAACTAAAAAAAATATTCAATACTTAATAAATTGACTAATGAATCAATTGATAGCTAGAACATTTTTTGGAAAGGATAGTGGCCTTTCTCCTTATATTCATATTGGATTACCATTAACAGTTGCAAAAATTCTCTCTAAAAATATTTATAAGTAACATTACCTCCCATCCACCTATATAACTGTAATGCTTGACATAAAATATAAACATTAATAATTGAAAAATAAATATAGTTAAAAAAAACTGAAAAACAAGCTTTTAAAGCATATCGAACTACAAAGTTAAAAATAATTTTTAAAATAAGCTTAAAACAATAATGAACGAAAAATACTAGTATTATTTTTAACTCTTTAGTTCGATATGCTTTAAAAGCGTGTTTTTCAGTTTTTTTAAACTATATTTATTTTTTACTTTTTAATTTTTTATAACATCGCTCTCACAGTCACGGAGTGTTTATTGTCAAATATGACTATTAATAAATATAATTTCTGTATCGCCAGTTAGTGTGTTTATAAACTCGCAACAATGTGTCTTATTACCATTGATAATAAAAGTTATATACCTGCGAATATCGTCATAAAAAACCAATTAGCTACTTGTATTTGTAATCCCTTATATATTATACATGTATGTTAATTAAAAAAAATTTTAATCTTTAAATGTTTATATCTAATAATAAACAATAAAAATTTGTTTATACATATGTATAATATTGATGATACACATGTACGGGTACGATAATCAAAAATAAAATTATACAGGAATAGTGTCCTCGACGTGGCAAGCACTTTCGCTTGAATGGTAAATTGATCGGCCATCGTACGCCGTTATTCTTTTATTTGTTCACTGCACCCTTGTTCTCAAAGTTCTCGTGCTCTTGTACACCACCAGTGATTGGGCCCTGACCATCGCTAAATAACTCCATTGCTGCAGTCGCTTTTCCGCCGTCTGTTCTCATCTGCCATTACGTGCCTGGATCTACACTCTGACTCGTGATACTCAGACACCATTACCGCAAGATCTCATATAGACCACTTATCACTATCAACAACTTCATCTGTTTAGCTGAGATTTATATTATTTTTTAATGTTATTTATTATTTGTTTTAATTGAGTTTAACTATTTTGTTTTATGCCGCTTGGCCGACCATTAGTATTTAAGGGTCCCCCGTTACCCCTTAGATTTAAGATACTCTTTGAAGAATTTCTAATATATATGGTTATTTGTTATTTATTGTAATAATTCAAAAAAATAAGCAAATACGGTGATGTTATATGTTAAGGTGTTTTTATTGACCAAGATTGGATATTTGGGGATTTGGTCAATTGGTGAGCAACGAAGTTCTATCGGGGTTGTAGAGTCCGAGGGTTTAGAAAAATAAAGAGGTTTCTCTTATAGAAATATTATAAATGATCCAACTAGTAAGTACCTGTAATAATACACTGAGGCAACGAAGAGGCGGTGGCCATCTCACGAATACCATGTAATGTGATTATGTATAAGGTGCGAACTAGTTAATAATAATTAATTGAAGTTTAAAGATTAATATAATTATTTGATCTATTGCTTTATGTTCTATACTCAGATTATTAATTCTAAATAATTGAGTTATAAGATAATATAAGTATTGACCCTTAATGATTTAAAGTCTTACCTGAAGATTTTTCTTTGTTGTAATAATAACTTTTGACAATATCAGGTTATAACAAAACAACACGAACTCAAATGTTTAGTTCATAAATTAACAAGTAAGAATTTCGACAATGATGATTACGAACTTTTCGTGTCGATGTCGAGAGCGCTATTCGAACGCTCAATGAATATTTAGAGACAGACTCCCTCAAGCCATTAGCACTCAGACCTGACTGAGAAGGATTACTCTGCCCTTTATAGTATTTTTTGATCCCCGAACAATCATCATTGTGTCATTCTTGTAATATTATCGTTTATTGTTAAGTAAGCATAAAATATGAAATATATAAATTAATACACATGGATAATATACAAATCATTTTTATACAACGTTAATATAGTTTGTTTTTACATTCTAGAATAGAGTTAACACATTGTGTTTTTTTATTAAGATAAGAGTAAAAAGAGCTAACAAGTATAACTTATAAATGTCCTATAGAGTGATTTTTAAAGGTGACTAATAATTGACTTATGACTGAATCGTGTATAATATAATATAATATAATATGATTAAACGACAGTATGCGTTTGTTAAATATTTCTCTAAGTTATTTATTTAAAAACAATCATGTTATTTTAAGCATATAAATATAATTTATAAATAAAGTTTTAATAGTCTTAAACGAAAAACCATTATCGTGGACACAAACAGAGTAGCCCACTGTTATTTCATATTGTGAGAGTGACGAGTGTATGACGACATTATTGTCTACTCTCGTTACTTATTGGACGTTCCGTTGACCGTCATCCATCCAGGTGACCCCTCTCCTACTTCAATAAAGCGTTTTAAACAGGCATAAGGTGTTTTACCATTCTAGTGCGGTGCACAACTAGCCGTGCTACAGTCTGGCTGCCTTGTACGAAACAATTGTAGAGGCCACAATGTTCCTGTGACGCCTTGAAAGGATGCGGAATCACCAGGATTAAAATTAAACAATTAAAAATATGTTTGTATGTTTCCTTGCGCTGTCCGCCAGCACGATGTCCGTTGGAACAGACATTAAGCTTAGAGGACTAGTTACTTAGATATTTACTTCTAAATAATTGGATTAATGTAAATTAAAATAAATAAAAGACTGGTGTACTTTCCAAATATTCGTCACTTGTGTATACTTGTCAAATCGCCGGAACACTATATTTGTACAATTATTGGTCACTTGCCAGTTTCCCGCGGATTGTCGATAATTGTGACACAAGTCAAAGGAATTAGTGGCTTGACAAGTTTACACTTAGCCAATATTTCATTTTAGGGTAGCTATTGGTAGCATAATTTTTTCTTCCCCATCCACCTATATTTGTACAGTGTAACGGTGGTTTATATTGACCTAATTATTTATTTAATTTAATAGATAAGTAAAACTATTTTATAGTATAATTGTTATATATATATTCAATTTGTACATATAATTTAATAATTAAGGTTGATTCTACAATGTATTAATTATATAACTTATTAATTTATGAATATTATGTATAAAGTAATTATTATTGGATAGTTTAATATTTTACTTAAGTGTTATGCAAATATTTTCATTATTATAGAAGTCAGAAAAATTTTATAAAGAAAACAATTCTTTCTTATTAAAATACATATTTTTAAAAAAGTAAACTCAGGTTGATTTTTTTCAAACACTTATTAGTAGGTTAAAAGATATATTTGTTTTTTTTACTTCGATGAAATAACTGTACAAAAATTTAATTTAACGAGTTACAACAATATATAAACTTTTTCATTCTGACTGGACTCTTTAAAAATATATTTTATTACAAAAATAATGAAATATAATTTTTACATAATCCAGAAAAGTGTTATTAAACTTTCAGTGTAACTACACGCATTGGCATCAGCTATATTTACTACTAATATTAATTCGTCGTCGTCGTGCAAGAAGTGAAATTTGTTTTTTGTATCAGTAATTAAAGGTTGAAAACTTTTTTGAATGACTAAAAATTTTCGATTAAAACTATTTAAACTATTGAAAAGTATATTATTGTTTATTATTATTATTATAAGTGTCAGATAACATCTATACACAGTCCCCACTGTACTGGGTTTTTATAGATAAATTTAATAATATTATTATTACTTCTAATAATTCAATTTATTTTAGGAAGGCGAATTGAATGATGGAGCGTCATCCTATTTGGAAGATTTATTTAGAAATAATAACAAAAGTACTGAAGGTATGTCGTATTATGAATTTCAATATCTATTAAAATCTTATAATTGGCTATACAATATGGACGATAGTGAAATCGAAAAACTATTTAGTGATGGAGTTAATGACAGTAAGTAAAACTCTAATTATGATAATAAAGTTAAATTTTATTTTGGTCAAATGCTATTATAACTGATGCTGTAAATTTAATGTACTAAATGAACATTTTATCGCTATATTACACACATTACAATTTTATTGGGTGGGTTAATTTTAAATTATACGAATTATTATTTTTTACTGAAAACACTACTACAAATCAATATTAAAAAAATGATTTGAGAAAAAAAAAATTCATGGCTACTTATAAAATAATAACTTAAAATTCACATTATAATACATATAATATTCGTATACTTTTTGCGAAGAGTTTAGATCTCCTTTCAGTATTCACTTTGAAAGTTTTGAATTTCGTCACTATTCATAAAATAAATATATTCTAATAGAAATTCCTAAATTTTTTTGGAGAATACCTGTAAGTTTAATGTGATATTTTCATAACCCGTTTTTGGAAAACTGGTATTTACAGTAAGTTGATATTTTTAAGTAACCATAGAAATGCATACATTTTAGAATCCAAAAAAATCATCATGAACTCATTGATATGCGTTTATTTTACGAAACCACATAAACCATTAACAGATAAATAAATCGGCCAAGAATAAGTAATGATAGAGTATGGCTATGAAAAACCTATCAAGTTTAAATTTTCCCTAGAATTGGTTTAGGCGAGAATAGAGAATTCATAAAACAATATTTAGATATCTAATAGAAGAAAGATTATTATTGTTTATTTAATTAATAAGACGATGACCGCTCTTTAACGCGCGTTGTCATTGAATCATTTTTGAAGACAGGCGATTCATAACAATAACCATCTCTAATAAAAAAACATTTGTGTTGTAAAATTCGAAATAAAATGTAAAACAGTTGGAATGTTAACAAGTTTAATTATTAAATATCATAATTTTATGTTAAAACATTCTATATTTTGATTATTGAAATAAGCAGTAATTTCCCGACTGCGACCTACTTTTTATTTATACTGTTTTCAATATACTGTTGCGCTGCGATAATTATAACGAGATGGCAAAGTTATCCTATTATATTTGTATTTAGAGATTTTTGTATGTGGGTCAAGATAGGTTTAAGAACAAAGATTTATGGGGAGATTCGCCCCTTTACAACCCTCCATTACATTAATAATTCTAAATATATTTCAACATAAGTATTTGGTAAACTTAAGGTGTGATTTGTATGTATATTGGTGGAAATTAAAAATTTTTTGATATATTCACTTCAAACAAATCTAATACATCATGTATAATTAAAAAGATTTAGCAAGTCTTTTTGATTTTCAAGTAATATAAAAAGCTAAAGCAGGCATAATAATAATTTATAATATTATAATAAATTAATAATATTTAATGACATTTAAATGTCGGAATGTGATTATTATGAATGAAATTATTATTGGTATTAACATTTTACTTTTACATTAAACTGAATTAACACAAAGTTTTTAGTTCATTAAGTACAAGACTGTATGAAAATTGATCAATTTAAGAAACAGGCGACGGTGTATGTCAAAAAAATTGAGAATAGAATTTGTAATATTTATTATGACTGTTGTGACAATAAAATAACTACGACTCCACATCAAAATATACTCTGTTCTTAAATCATTACGATTAGAAATCACTTATGAAGAAGTTAATGTATCAATATCTGACAGTAATGTTCGAGACCCATTAAGAATCACCTATAAAGGTAAAATGAATATTACGTATAATTTTATCTTCGATTATAATTTTATAACTTTTTGAAAAATGTATGGATCAATAAAATTTTTTTTATAATAAATTCTATTTATATACCTCTTTTATTCGACAAACTTTTTTTTTTTTAATCAGACCATTTCCCTTTATATATTATAATTATATATACATACAGGATGATTTTTTTATCATAACCTACTCAATTACTTATAGAATAATAATAATTAAAAAAAATTTTTTTATTAGTATCTTTAGTTACACATTATTCTTGAATTTTTAACTATGTAATACTTTTTAAGTTCATCCCTTATGCCTGGTAAGGGTGTCAACTTTGTTTTTTTAAATGGTAACACATATTTTGAATTTAATAAAATGTTTGAGTTTTTAATTTAATAATAAATGTCATTTGAATTTTTAATATAAATTTATTCGTTTTTTAGATATAAACCTCTAAAGTTTCAAATTTTTGAATTAATATACAGGTATAATATACAAGGATTACAAATATAGGTAGCTAATTGGTTTTTTATGATATTGCTATCACAATCACGGATTGTTTATTATCAATTATGTCTATCAATAGATATACATTCTGTATTGTCAGTTAGTGTATTTATAAACTCACAACTATGTGCCTTACTACCATTGATTATAACAATGCTTTGTATCTGCTAATATCGATGTCATAAAAAATCCATTAGCTACCTGTATTTGTAAACCCTTGTGTATTATACCTATATATTAACTCAAAAAGTTGATACTTTAAATGTTTATATCCAATAAACAAATTCAGTTTCATTAAAAATTCAAATGCCATTTACTATTGGATTAAAAACTCAAACATTTTATTAAATTAAAAATACGTGTTACCATTTAAAAAAACAAAGTTGACCCCCTTACAAGGTATAAGGGATGAATTTAAAAAGTATTACATAGTTAATAATTCAAGAATAATGTGTAACTAAAGATAGTAATAAAAAAATTTTTTTTAATTATTATTATTCTGTAAGTAATTGAGTGGGTTATGATAAAAAAATCACCCTGTATATATATATATTTATATAATACACTTATAAATCATAAAACTAATATCAGGATATTAATAAAGAAATCGGAGATCATGTTGCTTTTGAAATAATTCACCAATATTTTTTAAAATTGAACACTATCTACAGATTTGTATCGAAGCGTTTTTTATGATAGTGATTTTAATGACTGTCAGATATCATCTATACTGGACCCAACTATGCCACGTCCCCACTGTGCCGCGACCCTATCGTGCTAGGTTTTCTTAACTCCAAGATCAGTAGTTAATCCGTCGTAGAGAAAGATGAATGGCATCTCCATTAACTGAATTATTTATGGCTAATCATGTATCGTGAAATTTCATTTTCATGGCTTTATTTTATTGACCCTTAATTTGTAAAAAAAATGTCTACTTTTAAATAATAAAAAATAAATTTTCATAAAATAAAATAATTGTATTTGATGTTACTTTTATTTAAGTAACTTATGAAATGAATAATTTGTTTTCTTTTTCACTAACATGATTGGAGATATAGATGATGACAATATAAAACTAATCAATAGCAGACATCCAAGTTAAAACTGTAATTAATAATCTTATCATAGGATAAATGAATTGAAAACAAAAAAGGATAATAATTAGATTAATCTTACTGAAGTTTATTAAGAATTGCAATTTTTTTCTATAGAACAATTTTCCTCCAAAAATGATATGTCTTCATGTTAGTTTCCCAGTATAAAATGATTTTACACAGAATAATACATAGTACATAACATTATTTTAGCATATGTTTAAAGCTCGGATTATTTCCGGAATATTTTCAAAACTTAAGTTGAATAAGTTCAATTTTTGTGCAGAAGTTGCTATATTGAAACCCCCTATGGGTAGATAAAGCATCACATTTTCAAAAAATTTACATCTAATAAAAGAGAAACATCTATGGTTTCAATTTAACAAAGAATTCTGATTCGTTCATTTTCAATAAGTAATAGCAATTTTTAGAAAAAAAGTTTAAAAATGTTGATTTTCACTATTTAAGTGGAACCAGGACAAAAAATTTTTTTTATTGATACAGTCATTTTAAATAAGTTATGGTTGTTTTAAATAAAAAAAACCCAGCACAGGGGGATCGCGGCACAGTGGTGACGTGGCATAGTTGGATCAAGTATAATGATATCTGACAGTGATTAAAATCACTATCAAAAAAAAACGCTTCGATGCAAATCTTTAGATAGTGTTTAATTTTAAAAAATTGGTGGATTATTCCAAAAGCTTCATAAACTGCTAGTTCCTTATTAATATCCTGATTAAGATAAAGTATGTCGAATGAAAAAGGGATTATTAAAAAATATTATTTCTTATAAAAAAATAATGTTGATCCATACACTTTTAAATATGTCATAGCATTATAAAGTTAAAAATGTAAAAAATAAAATCGAGAATTTTCACGCAATAATAGCATTTGGTAACTATTTTCACCGTGAAGACAAAATAAAGTCCGAAATATTTTTTTTGCATAATAAAGTACATTACATTAGCTTTAATTTAAGATATATATAAAAAAGTGTCAGACTTTCCGGAACATTAGAGTAGAGTAGTGTAGACCAATCGCCCACTGATAATTTATTTTTTAATATTTTCAAATGAATAAATGCGTATTTTAATTTCTTAATAATGATCTGCTAGTTCATTATTTATATCCTGATTCAGATAAAGTATGTCGAATGAAAAAGGGATTATTAAAAAATAGAATTTCCCATAAAAAAATTATATTGATCAATACACTTTTCAATAAGTTATAGCATTATAAAGTTAAAAAAAAAAAAAAAAACCCAGCACAGGGGGGTCGCGGCACAGTGGTGACGTGGCATAGTTGGATCAAGTATAATGATATCTGACAGTGATTAAAATCACTATCAAAAAAAAACGCTTCGATGCAAATCTTTAGATAGTGTTTAATTTTAAAAAATTGGTGGATTATTCCAAAAGCTTCATAAACTGCTAGTTCCTTATTAATATCCTGATTAAGACAAAGTATGTAGAATAAAAAAGAGATTATTAGAAAATAGTATTTCCCATAAAAAAATTATATTGATCAATACACTTTTCAATAAGTTATAGCATTATAATGTTAAAAATGTAAAAAATAAAATTGAGAATTTTCACACAATAATAGCATTTGGTAGCCATTTTCACCTTGAAGATAAAATAAAGTCCGAAATTTTTTTTTTCCATGATAAAGTATATTACATTAGCTTTAATTTAAGATATATATAAAAGTGTCAGACTTTCCGGAACACTTTCAAAATTTAAGTTGAAAAAGTCAATTTTTTGTGAAAAAGTTGTCATTTTGAATCCCCCCCTGTAGGCAGGTAAAAAGTCAGATTTATAAAAAAAATATACCAAATGATAGGTAAAGACAAAATAGTATTTCCCATAAAAAAATTATATTGATCAATACACTTTTCAATAAGTTATATCATTATAAAGTTAAAAATATAAAAAATAAAATCGAGAATTTTCACACAATAATAGCATTTGGTAGCCATTTTCCCCTTGAAGATAAAAAAAAATAAAGTCCGAAATTTTTTTTTACCATTATAAAGTATATTACATTAGCTTTAATTTAAGATATATATAAAAGTGTCAGACCTTCCGGAACACTTTCAAAAGTTACGTTGAAAAAGTTCTACTTTCTATATGCATTTTTATGTTTTGAATCCCCCCTGTATTTANAATTTTTTGTGAAAAAGTTGTCATTTTGAATCCCCCCCTGTAGGCAGGTAAAAAGTCAGATTTATAAAAAAAATATACCAAATGATAGGTAAAGACATCATGCATCTACAAAAAAAAGAATTATATTGATCCATACATCTTTCGAGAAGTTATAGCATTATAAAGTTAAAAATATAAAAAAGAATTTTTTTACAAAAATCGTATTTTTTTTATTAAGTTTGATGTCTGTTTTCACCATGAAGTTAAATAAAGTCCGAACTTTTTTTTTACCATTATAAAGTATATTACATTAGCTTTAATTTAAGATATATATAAAAGTGTCAGACCTTCCGGAACA